CATAAACAAGGGGAATCATCACTTGAATAAAATTAGTGCAAAGCTTGGGCATAAGCACAGACATTTTACAAAGTTGCAGCAAATCTATTGCTAATCCTACATCTCTGGAAAAAGAAGATTTGCAGAAACCATTTTGTCTGAAGATTCGGTTTTTAAGTACTGTCAGCATAGTATTTTCTTTCAAGCACAGTTCTGATAAGCAATATGTATCAGCAGGTAACTTGTGCATTAAATCTCTGTGCTAGAAATAGCCATCCTCTAGCATGTACTGTCCAAGTACTGCCTGATGCCATTTCTGCTGGCAGGTGACTCCTATAAAATTTCAGTTCTAATGAATATGGCTATTGTAGCTGGATTTTCTCATCTGCCATCCATTTGCATTCATACAGAAAGGCTGTTTTGTCTTACTAGCTGTCACTTTGATTTGTAAAGAACTATTATGGGGGGTCTGCAACTGTGATGCTAATATAGGGAATGGATAACACCGCAGTTCCTGCCCTGTATACAAGGGCATGCACTTGACACAGAAGCTTATGGTGGTCTTGGTCATACTTGGATATTAAAATATATTAGAAGAGGCAGAAGCTTATGTATCTCAAGTGATATTTCTGCTGTTCTGTAAAGCAGTGTGTATTTTTGGTAGTTTGTTCTGCATTTGTCTCAAATATGCTGTTGCATATTTTATGATACTTCATGGTAACTTAGTTTTTTTTCAAGAGCAAGCCAGGTAACAACTGCATTGGGTACCATGTGGTTCTAACAGGTTAAATGGCATTCATTGATGAAATAGTTCATTAATATAAATATATTATTTTCCCTTAGAACGTATGTGCTCTGCTGAGTTGTGTGATCATATGTGGAAGCGTTCAAAAGCTTCAGTGAAACTTAGGATCAATAATAGAGGGCACTCATGTTTGTCTTTCAAAAGCTATGAAGTTAAAACAGATAAAAGTTATAGTAGTCTGTTAAATACAGCGGAGTATTCAAAGAATATTAAGCAACGGGTATTAATATCTTGTTAATTTACTCTTTAGTGGTATTTGTCTCAGTGTTCAACTGTAACACATCTTGAGCATAAGGTGACATTCAGTTTACTGCTTTGTTAGAGTAACTACTGAAAATGAATTACTTTAAGATGAACTTCCAAAACTCATGCTCCAAGAATACGATCCATTCGTTGCTACTGTTAGTTCAGCTTGACTTCAAGCTGTAAATATGTGAAACTGGCCTTGCAGAAAATTGTATAAACGTAAGTATCTTAACTATTTACCTTCCAGTCTGAAGTTGTCAACAGCAAAATCATTAAATTGTAGATTGTGAAATATCCCTTACAAGTTTTATTTTGGTAATCTGTTTAATCAGCAGGATTTTCTTATGTATAATGGTGTACATTATAAAATATCAGCAGAGTGGATTTATGAGAGCAGAGCATGCAAGGCGGTTTCAAATTAGATCATAACAAAAGTAGGATAAGGCTAAGGAATCTGGGTTTTGTTCAGTTTATTAGATTTCATTTTATTATATGCTGATCTTCTGCCTGGATCCAGCTGACTGTCTAGTGTCATTCAGGCGTTTGCGCCGTGCTCCCTGGACTCCTGGTTGTGTGGGGGGCCTGAAGCTGGGCCTTCATGGGGCCAGGGCATACCTGGCACAACTCGCTCCCTCGGGCTTTGAGCCTCATTTCTGATGTGTTCACGTCTCATCCATTTCCTGCTTAACAGGAGAAGCTCTTAGCTTATATGACTGTAGCTTTTCAACATACCCATAAAATCATTGCAAGGAGGAGTTTCCATCTAGCTGCTTGGCAGTGCCTTCAGTTTAGTGCTTCCAGTGCTTTTGAAGTCCTGCTGATGTCCTATTATCCGAACTGGAAATTGCTTGCTTTTGATGCTCTGTAGCAGGGCTTTTTACCTCATTTTGGCAGGTGATTTGCTGCTTGCTTACAGCACTGAAGTTGGGAGCAGAGAACAAACGGGCAGGGAGCTTGAGTGGTTCGGAATTTTTCCCCAAATTGCAGGGAGCAGGAAAATGCAAGGCTGTCATGTTTGGTGGGATCTAAAAATAGCTGTAGTTGACTCCACCCCTCTATAACTTGCTTCCAGGAACATGTTGAGCTAATGAATGTGAAGTGTATTTAACACACGTGCAGTGTATTTCCTACCATCTTTCAGATTCTCCCAGTGCCCTTAAGAGTTTTAAATTTGTCTTTTTTCATCCAGTTTTCTGAAACAAACGTTTACTTTTAATGTGAGCTGATTTAGTGTGGGATGAAATTCTGTTTCAGATAAATCCAAACAATTTGACTTCTATAAGTACATCTTCCAGCACTCAAAACAGTCACATTTAATAATGAAAAATTCAACAATCTCGCAAGTGTGTTCGAGAAGTCATTTTCCTTTCATACAGGACTTTGTTGTGGTCGTGCATTTTTCCTGAACCTTGAGAATTGCCTTAAAAGCATTGCTTGAACATTGCCACATGACTGATTTTACAACAAGCAACATTTGTCATGCTTTAAAATGACTAACCAATATTAGCATTTAACAGCTTTTCTGTGTGATATATAAGCTGTTTTACTAGTTAATGTAGCAACGATATCAGTAAGCTGTTAAGTTTTATATAAAGGTACACAGAACTAGGAGCTTCCCATCTAAGAAGGTGGATGCCTGTGAGGAAGAAACAGTATTCGTACTATTGCTAATTAGCACCTTCTGTGACATGTATTTGAGCAGTCAATGCATTTCTTGAAGTTAGAAGGCTTTAGACTAATACAGAGAAAGAAATCCCCTTCAGGAAAAAGGATCCGCAGTACGCTCTCAGAAGATTTAAACAAGCAGCTCTGTTTGTAAACTGCTGTAAGAGCCCATCTGATGATGTAGTTTCTGCCTCTGATGACACATTCCTACATTTCTCTCTGCTGCTAGACAACAAGTTTTGTGTTCTCCATACGCTAGGTCTTTCTTCATTAACATCTCAGTATCCATGTGTTCATGGAGAAACAGTGCAGTTTTCTTCTATGCGGGTTCTTGATCTTTGATGAGACACTGATGTCGACTTTTTGACCACTAGCCAAATTGCTTTTGGCTTTACAGTGTAATGGTGCTAGTGCACTTAAAACTTGCGTCTTATGCCTTTTGTTTCACACATAGAAGTGGCAGTGATTGAAATTTAACATGCACATTTTACAAAGCGTAACCTAAAATAAAATAGTAAACAATGTTAAAGCAAGACAGTTGTTAAAAATGTGCTTTTTAAGGACATATTGTGAGGTTTTTTGGTCTCTGGCACTTGACGCTTGCCTTTTATTGTCTCAATACAGTAATCTTAATGGTGCTTCTTTATGAGCCTACATTTTGCATTTGAATATGCACTTATTAAAGTTTGCATCTTAAGAAAAGTCCAAGATACATTCCCCAAGCATTTTGCATATAAAAGTAATGGTATGGGTATCTTAAAATTCAGTAATTGTTCTGGTAGGCTCATGATGACTTAACTTTTAGAGAATATGCTGTATTACCAATACAGAGTTCACAGTTTCACTGAGGTAACAAGACCTTTCCTTCTTGACTCTTATTCCCTTGTAGTAAGAAATTTGATTGATCAAGCATAGCATGTAGAGGCAAGGTGACAACTTTCCGTCTGTGTGGGCTCAAGGAATGATGTTTATATTGCTGTGGGACTCCAGAAGAGATTATGCTGCTGAGGGCAGTCACTCAGATGTTATGGTTTTGCTCATCTATGTAAATAGGTTTGTGTTTATACTACAGAGCCTGACCCTATTAGTTGTAAAACAAAGATGAGATATGAAACAATGTTTTTCAGATTTCAAATCCGGAAGTGTCATTAGTATCTATACTGACTCCTGAAACAGGGAAAAAAATTGAGCTTCAGCAAGAAGAAAAAATAAAGCTGGGCAGATTTTCTTCAGTGGGAATCTGGATATTCAGGGCAGATAGCTGTGCTGGTACTCGTATCAAAGGGAACCTTAAATGCAGCTACGCTCTCTCTTAGCTGGGTTTGAGTCATGTAGTCCAGAAGAGATTGGTCTTTGTTTGGGGAAAGCAGTTCAGCTGTGCAGCTGCTGAAGAGGATTGAACTAAGCTGTCAGCCACTGACCCAGATACCTGCGCTCTGAACTGACTGATATGGCAATGTAACACTGTACCTTTCTGCTGCCTTGGCATGAAGTGCAAGGCAGTGGGTTGTCAGGTCCATGTAACTGATTTCTTCAGCCTGGGTGAGGAACGTTGTGACCTGCCATAAGGTAATAAATACAGCATGAAGCCAAAAAGGTCGAGGACATAGCTGAGACCAGCTGTGCCTTTATTCTTCCTGGGTAGTGTGACTAAAGGGAAAAGAACACATTCGGTATAACTGCAGCATTATTCTCAGAAATAGTAATTTAATTTTACACAACAAACCAAATTGTGTTGATTCTCCTTCTTCTCTTTCTCGTTCCCTCCAAATACAACAATTTCATTTAGTTTTACCACATCAAGACTAGTTGACAAGAAACAACTGGAGTATTTACAATTGTTTTAAACTGCAGAGATTTGTTCATTGCTGTCCCTAGAGGCCTAAAATGCTGTTTCTTTGCCTCTTAAAATCCTATTAGTCTTACTTTCTCCATCATTATGAGGATGATCATGTTTCTGTTCCTCTCATTAAGTCACAAGCTGTCTTGATTTTTTTTTAATTTCCAGCCTAGTCATTTCTTATGTAAAAACAAATCCTGCTTCCTCTAGTTTGAGTATGAATTACTATAGCAAATGGGTTTTGACCTATGTAAGTGAAGTGAAATATTACCAAAGCTTTGCTTTCACGTATTATTTCAAAAGTAAAAAGGAATATCAGAAATAACTAAATGAGGTGGATTTTGCATTTGCAGACAGACTGAAATAAAAAGTCCTCAACTAATGGATATTATGCATTTAATGAAGTAGCACTATTGCTAAATAAGTCTTCTAATTTTCTTTTTGTCGGTCTGTTTTTAGGATCCATACTATAGATTTAATGATGTGATGTACAGATGGATCTCACTGGATAACTGGACTTACAGCAGGACATTCAAAACTCCTTTTGATGTCAGGTGTGCGGTAAAGATATGTCTAAAATAGTTCTATGCCATATTTCATGCAGAATTGCTAGTTAATGTGTCAGCTCAAAATCTGCCTAATGCTTTTTTATCCAATAAAACATATTATGCAGAAATGTGCAGCTGCAAAGATGTTGCTAAAGAACACTTCAGTAGTTGCTTTTTCCCAATTTTTTAAATTGTTTAAAATTACTTGTGAATTGCTAAATAAGGAAGGATAATACTTAGGCTGATTGGATGCTAGCCCATCTGATCCCTGGTGGGTATGTGAACATGCAGTGTTACAAACTTGAGCCACTTCAGCTGTCATCTTAATTTTACTATTTAAAGATATAGTATAGCCACACTAAGTCAAACATTTTTGGAGATAGTCGTGACAACTGCTGTTATAGATAATGGTGACATACATTTTTATATTGCCTGCCTCCTGTGTGTTGTTAACTCTAGGTATTCTAACAGTTTTTTTTGCATATGTTCTGTAGAAAGTGGCAGAAAATGAATTTGGTTTTCGAGGGAGTAGATACAGTAGCACAGATCCTGATCAACAATATCACTCTTGGGAGAACAGACAACATGTTCAACAGATATGTAAGTAATGAGTAATGTGTATATTTCTGAAGGTGCTTCTGTTTTTTTGTTTTTTTTTTTTTTTACCAAAGCCCTTTTGTGCTGAGCACTTTCAGTGCATTCAAGTGTACATAAAAATAGGTCCTTGGACACAGAAGGTCTTGGCCTGAGGACTGCATGTGTAATCAGATAACTGTTAGAAAGAGAAGTTTACTTATCTTTTCAATAGCAGCAGAGTCCGATCTAGAGGTGAATGTGTCTTTTTCCAAATGAGTGGACCCATGCAAGAGGATCAGTTCAGCTAATAATATAAGTCTTGCTTCCTGGGATCTGTCACAACTCCAAGAAAGCGTAAGCTTAAATCTGTTATATTAGCTGTAAATCTGCTTACTAATTGGTATTAGAATGGTTTACACGTGAACACTGAAATGAAAATGCACATGTTGTAAAGCCTTTGTAAGTGTTTCTATGTTTTTTTTATATAGGGTTTTTGATTTTTAATATAGGGCTTCTGATAACATTGTCTTGCATTTTTGGACTTGGCCTATGTCAGCGTGAGAGTACTCATCATGGAATGATCTTGAGAGCAGCAAAAACATTCACGCTGATTTTGTAGCTTTAAAATATGAAATTACTCTGGGTACTAGCATAAGGGACAATCCTTTTCTCTTGAAAGAATCAAAAAAGGAAAAGTTAAAGGAAGAATGTTAGTGGAATAACTGAATTACAAAGGAAATGTGGTGTCTTCATATCTTAGTGTTTACCATTCTGGCAGGTTTTATTGCAGAGGTACTGGCCTGAGACATGAGAGCTAGATTCTGCCACTGGGTCTGTGTGACCTGCAACAAATCACTTAGTTTCTTTGTGACTTACTTTTACTATCTGTAAAATAAGAAATTTCACAGACCTTTTATGAAATTGTAATTATTTACTATTTGGAGAGTATCTAAAGGGTTGCCAGTAGCAGGCTCTGTAGAATTGGGAAGTGATACTTTTTTGCCCTTACTTCTGCAACTTCATTTTGTCTCAGATTGTAACAGTTCATGAAGTGGCCTTCACTGTAAAACCAGAGTGAACTGTATTAGACTGAGTCTAGGATTACTGTGACCTAGACTTCTGCTTTGTTCACCTGTTCCACATGACAACTATGTCTGCAGGAAGGACTCTGTGAAGATTCTGTATGGGAGATGCTATTTGATTTGTAATTTTCTGCTGTATGCTACAGACATAAATGGTGCTAGCTGGGCTGCTCACAAGTTGGAAAAAATTGCCAAGACTTGGCTTGTCACAAATGAACACTGTGAAGAAGAAACAGGTATTAGCCATTGGAACCATGTTATCTTGATAGCACAGGATAATTCTGAAACCGAATGTTTATCCTTCTATCCAGCCACACTGAAGGGGATTTTGTGAACCAGTGAGGAAGCCCCCAAGTGTTTTATTTGGTGCTGGCATGGAATATGTATTTGTACATTTTGGGGATGAGAGTGCCAATGTCATGAAATACAGCTTTGCAGCATTCACACAAAAGGCAGCTCGGTGCTTTGTGGTAGGTAAGCAGGCAGCACAGCATGAGTTGGAAGGACTCCTCTATAGACCAGCTTTCTGAGGTGGAACAAGGTGTCCTTCTGAAGATGCCGATGAGTTCTGAGTGAGGAAGGATGGTAAAGATTCTTTAAGCATCCTTATTCTTCAAGCACTTCTGCGTGCAAGCAGAGTGCTGCAGCCTGCAATGAGGGCTCAGTATGGGGAAAGTGGTTTGCTCAGAAACATCTCCGCGTATCTAGAATGTTACTGTGTATTTTCTTTTTTCGGCTTAAGAAGTAGCTCTTTTACTTCAAAACCAGAGCCTGTTGAAACTGTAGTTCAAATGACTTTGAAAAAATATGTATGATATTAAAATCCCAATGTAACTGATTATAAGTCTCATAAATAAATGTCAGCACTGTAGTGATTTTGTTCTGTTTTCTTGACCTAGAGCTTTGATATTACCAGCATGATCAAGGAGGTCAATTTTGTTGAAGTCCGTTTCTTGTCAGCCGTTTCATATGCAGCAGAGCAGAGCAGATGTCACAAAGCATACAGCATCCCCCCGGCGTGCCCTCCACCTGTGCAGAAAGGAGAGTGCCATGCTAATTTCATCAGAAAGGTATGGGTAGAATCATCTGTCTCTGGCTTCAGGCTTGGAAGGAGGAATGCACCATGTGCTGTCCTTACAGATGTATTCTGAAACCTGCAATGTCATTTTATAAGTAGGACATATTTTTAATTGCATCTTCCTTCTCCTGCCCTCCTACCCCCAAACCTGTAATCTAGCATGTCGATAATACAAGAGGCATAAGAAGGCCAGGCTTTGTATCTAGGTGATAAAAATGTTCAAAAGGCTGTTTTCATCAAGGAGTCAGCAAGGAGACTTGCTGGTAAGAGAGCAGGATAGCGTTGGGAAATGTGTAATCATTACATTTTGATCCACTGGGTGTGTTTAGCAATGTATGCTGACAATAGAGTTCACTGTTGCAAATACCACTGTATATTGCCAAGGCTGTAAAAATCTCAGCCAAGCAGCTTTGTGAGTGTTTGCTATTGCTCATGTCCTGTGCTATTTATACTGGGCAGCTCTGGCATGTCCCAAGAAGTGTTATCTAACAGAGGACCTGTTCTCTTCTTATTGCAGTTGTGAAGTGTGACTTATAAATACATATTCAGTCAAAACAACAATGAAATATACAATGAATGAAGCTCAGAAACTCTGATTTAAGACATGGCTTCAGTGCTGTTAAAACTTACTCAAGGCAAAGTATCACTTGAGTAGCATCTCATATATTTCTGATAGCTTTGCAGCAGCTAGAGACAATGGCTAGGTGATCTTATTTTGGAATTTCTCTTTTTGGGTATTTTTCCATGTTTGTCTCCACTTAATTGCATTTCTTGTTATTAATTTTTAATCTTTTCAATAGAATCACAGAATCATTAAGGTTGGAAAAGACCTTTAAGATCATCAAATCCAACCATCAACCCAATACCACCATGCCCACTAAACCGTATCCTGAAGTGCTACATCCACACATTTTTTGAACACTTCCAGTGATGGTGACTCCACCACCTCCCTGGGCAGCCTGTTCCAATGTTTGACCACTCTCTCCTTTAAAGTCCTCTTAGAGCTTCCTCAAAAAAATGACTGGAATCTTGTTAATCTAAACCTGGATGCGATTTCCTTTAAAATTTGTTAATGGAAAGATGGACTCCATGTTGTCCTGTGAAGATCCATCAGGATTAAGACGTTGTCTTTATTACTAATTGCTGCTACTTTTATTTTCATTTCATTTTAGAAAGTTGATTAATTATGCTGAGTCCACTGTGTTTCTTAGAAATTAGTGCAGGGAGGAACTTGGAAGGAAGAAGGCTGTAAACAGTTGTAGACTTATTTATAGAGCAAAAATGGCCAGGAATGATTTTATGCTTTACTGAACTATACCTTTAAATTTGTAAGAAAGTACCTTAGTGCTTTTCCTCAAAGGAGTTGTTGACTGTACTTGGAAGCTGCTCCAGACATTGCCAGAAACATTTTTAGTTCCTAGTACATGGCAACACCACCAGTGATGTTTTTACTTTTAAAAGTAAAAAAAACCATACTAGGACACTGCTAAAGTAATCTGGCTGCTTACTGCCTTAAAGTTATGGACAGCTGTTTACACGTTTGAGGTTCAGTACTAAGTGCAGTAAATATATTTAAATTTTAATAGGATTTTGTGGCAAAACACAAGACTTCCACTGGTAATGTACATCAGTGATACAAGTGTCTTGTTCTTACAACATACTATTTCTCATAGTGGCCTCTGAAATATTAGTGAAACCTGACAATCTGTCAGTAATTCATTTGTTGATTTTTTTATAAAGGGAAAATGACTTTCAATCTTACTTGTTTTCTAAGAATGTGTTGTCCCTGTTTTTACACTTGAAATAGGTACAGTGCTTGCTTCCTGGAAGGCTTTTTTGCAACTTGATAGGCAGGCAGGCTGACTCCAGCGATGCAAGGGATAGGCCAGATTTGTGCAATGTGGTTTGCCAAAATTAGTATGCCTCAGCTCTAAGTTATTAGTCTCTAAATTTAGAACTGTAGGTCACTGTACAAGACCTTAAGGGGATCTATTGTATTTGCTTTGGGGGCTGGGGCTGTGTGAAGCTTGGAGGGCAGCTGAATGAATAGAAGTTGTCAAGGGATTTATTAACTAGAGGTCTGACCAGGTTTGAAAACAGCTAAATAAAAAGCAGTGTAGGTACTTCTCTGCCTCAGCAGCATTTTATTATTCTGACAGTTATTCTGATGGTAGAACCAGAACTAACCTATTTCTCAACCGCGTTTTTGTTCCCTTTGTTTTTGTATGAGAGCGCCTTAAAGAGGAGAGTAACAGTGAACATAACTGAACTACACAAATGCACCAGACATACGCATCTCTTTCCTTGTACTAATCTGTGGTATTACAACAAAAAATAGGGGATAAAGTATTTCAAATATACCCACGATTTTTAGTATGATATTGTTCTTTTAGAGTACTTAAACATTTGTAACCACCAGTTTTCTGCTTACTTTGTCTTCTAGGTATACAATTAAATACTGACATTACAAACTAAGATAATTCAGAGCTGAATTGAGAGTAACCTGCTGGCTTGTTTTTTTGATCTTTACTGTTTGTTTTTTTTTTAAGTGGTGGGCTAGGTGATGTTTTGCTCTCCCACTAATATAAAATTTTGCTACATGTGGATGTTTAATACAAAATTGTATTTTTTATATAATATAGGTGGTAGCAGCAGAGTTCTGGTCAAGAAATAAGAAAAAATACTGTAGGCTCTTTTGGGTTTTTTATGGAAATTGGAAAAATTCTTTCAGTGCATGGCAATATTTTATTTCTAGATAGCAAATAATTTTTATTTCTGGCACAGCATCAATGTCTTTGTGAAAATTAGGCAATTGTAACATAATCATTCTGTATTCCAGGAGCAATGTTCCTTTAGTTGGGACTGGGGCCCATCTTTTCCCACTCAAGGAATTTGGAAAGATGTTAGGATTGAGGCCTATAACCATTATCAACTGATTTACTTTTCTTTGACTTCTTTCTTTGGTAAGTCGTGTTACTACTTTTTATTGTTGTTTCACATTTGGAATACAAACCATTTTATTGTTAAGGTCAATTAAATGTCAGTTTAGGAAGGGTTCTGTTGTTTTGTTATGACTTTGTGTGTAGTTCTTACCACAGCATACCGTTTTAGGTCTTGAAAGAGTACTTCAGTATAAACAGTAGTGATTAAAAATGTTAGAATTCAGAATCTTTTTTTTTGCTTGAAGATCCCCAGATAACTGCAGAAGTATATCTAGTATAGCTGAGGTTAGCCCCTCCTCCTGTTTTGAAAAAAATCTTTTTTATTGGCATGTGTTTTCACCAAGACTCCCAATAAATATGTCTCACTTCCATTTAAGAGAAAGGCAAAGGTGCTACGTGAATTTAGTTTTGTGTTGGGAAAACGAATGCATGGTGACCAGAGTTTCAAGAGTGCTGAGTTTTCAGGACACAACATGAAGTCTGAGAGAGGAAAGCAGTTGTGCTATGCAAGGATAATTTGTTAAGGCTG